TGAAAAAGAGCTGACTGGGCCTTCCAATGATCAACCCCCTACAAGGAAACAATTGAGATTCTAACCCTTTAGCATACAGGATCGAAAAGCTGGCTAGACAAAGAATCTCCCAGGTTTCCTTCTTAAGGAGTGGGAGAAAGATTGTGACTCTGGGATTTTGATGATCCAAGCACAAAAAAGTCTCAGTTTGGAGGAGGGAGGGAGAAAGCCTCATTCCCCGAGGAAATAACAAGTAGGACGATTTCGGAACACCTATTTCAAATAATCAACCTCTTATCTGAAATAATTGGAAAGAGCAAAATGTACATAGTTTACATACAGGTAAAAAGAGATTTAAATGTAGAATTTGGGAAAGGTTTTTATCCTAAACAAATAGGATCTATATCATGAAGTTGTGGCCTAGGGTTTCAATTTTTGTTGTTAAGGCATTCGTCTAGAAAGAGAAAGAAATTTATAAAGCAGAATAAGAGCAAGAAAATTCCTTGAGTTTACTATTTTTCTATTCTAGAAACCACTACAAAATATATTATAGTCAAGAAAGAGAGTTTAGAGAGATGACCCTGGGAGAGAGATAGAATCACCTAACTTAATTGCATTTCATTTTGTTCCCTTTCAATCCTGAAAAGAGAAACAAAGGTCAAATGGCGTAAAACACCAACTCAGAAACAAAACATGCAGGGGCAGTTTTAAGGAAAAAATAAATAAATAAACAACACTATTAAGTGGCTGGGAACAGCAGCAGAAAAACAGATATTGTTAAAGTATTCCTGATTAAAGTATTCCTGATTATAAAGCGCACAAGTAAGAAAAAAAAAAAGTCTGTCTCTTCATTTGTTTAAGTTCAACAGATGTACATAAAGCAAGCACAATGCAGCAAGGATTTTCTGAAGCACGGTTTTAAGTAATAAGAAATTAGAAAACCAGCCAGAACCTGCAACTGGAAAAGACTAAAGTCAAACAATCTACAGTTCTGGAACTTTCCCCCCACAACAGACCAGCCAGGAAACAAAATAACTAGTGTGAGACAACCTCCTGCTGCCACACAGAATTCTTTCTCAACATTTCATGCATGAGGAACCAAACTATTATTCATTCAACAAACATATGCTGAGCATTTACTGCTACTGCCCCCTGTTTTAGGTATTTGGGAGGGGGAATAGATGCTGAGGACCTAACTCAGACCTACTGAACCTAAATTTCTAATTTTAAATCATATTTTTAATGTTCAGATTAATAATAATCACCCTCCTAATAATCACCCAGATCTGGAAACTCCTACTTTAGGAAATGTAAAAATGACTAAGACAGTTCTTGATCTCAAGGAGCTCACCTAAGTGATAGGCAAATATAAGAATTTCTCCAAAACAAGGTTAAAAATAAAACATGATATTAGAGGAACATATTCCTTGCTGTGGACATTCAGAGGAGGGAGAAATGATGGGCCGTTGGGAGTTGCACAAGTAGTGAAAGAGGGCCTCACAGAAATAGGCATATTTATGTTAGTATAGTTACCATTTCAACGTATAGAACAGGAAAAAAAATCTATTATAACAATAAAAAGAAACATGTCTCCAGTTTTTAATGAGAAATAGGCCTTGTACTGGGCACTTTACATAAACCTTCTCTTAAACCTAAACTAAACCAATCAGGTAAGTCCTATTTCCCCGTTTTGCAGATGGGACAACTAAAGCTCAGAGTGTTAATGTAATTTATTGTCACACAGCTAGAAATTGAGAAGCTGAAGTTCAATACCAGATCTTTCCCATTCCAGAGCCTCTATGCTTCCCAAAGAAGAATAAACAAAGCCCAGATCTGTAAAAGTGTCAGATATATATCACCAAGTGTCCATAGTTCCCTCTGACTGGAAGGTAGCAAAGTGGGAGAGAGAGGGCATGTAAGGTTTAAGGGTAGTCAGGCTATGGATGCTGTATTTAAACTTTGTGGGCTTTATATGGTAGTAAGGGGAAACCACTGAAGGTTTCTCAGCAGAAAATGCTATGATAAAAGCTTTATCTTAGTTTCAGGCTATGAATCATGAGTTATATCTTACAATCTTGAATAATAAAAATCAAAGTTTGAAGAGTCTCACCCTGCCTTTAAACAAAAAAGTGTGGCTAGGAGCCAGGTGGAACTGTTGCCTCACAGCAGTCCAGATTCCGAACATGTCAGGTCTTAAGAGTCTATAGAGCAGGCCTTAAGATAAATGCAATGCATGTCTGCTATCCCGCAGGACAAGAATCTGCTCATCCCTGGAGCTGTCCAAATCTGGCAGAAGGATAGCCCTGGGGACTACAGCATTCCCTAGGACCTGAGGCAGTTCTATGGGACAGTGGCCATAGTACAGGCAGAGGCATCAGTTGTTGGCAGAGCTCAGAGTCCTGACTCCCGGTACCGCGCTCATTTCATCAAATCAAACCATGTGACACTGGGCAAGCCCCCTTCCCTCTCTGACTTTCCTTTTACTTGTCTGAGAAATGAGAAATTGATCTGGATGAGGCTCAGATTTCACAATTTTTAATTCTTCTCTTCCAGCACAGCAGCATAAAGGATCCACTTGCATCAGGGGCTCATACTAGAGATTTGGGGAGGAGTAGCATGTCTCAAGAGCTTCCAGTTTGTAAAACCCCCAGCTGAGAATAACCACTTCATTACCTCCAGGAAGCCTGGTAGTTCTGACTGTATTATAGGATTTACAATTCTCAAATTGTGGCTGCAAAGTCCTCATTGAATTCAATCTGGCCCAAGAGTATCCTTTTCAAGTACAAACTGGAACACTGATGTCAAAAGTAATTCAGCAACATGAGGGACCACGATCACTCCCTGGCTCATGCAGGGAAACTCTTCATTCTACCATCAGGGAATGAACACTTTAGGATCCACACCTGTCAGAGCCTGAGGATACTGTTATTACTTGAGAGTTTTGTTTTACTCTCAAAAGATGTACGTGTGTGCAATTCTCTAGCAGCCAGCAGCCAAACAAGAGCTAAAATTGTGGATGCAATGGGGGAGGGGAGAGAGGAACAAAAATGAACCTTATTCGATGTTCACAAAAATATTCCTGCAAACTGTAACCATCTAAAATGAATTTCTGTAGGGGAAAAACATTTATCCCATAATTATGTGGATCCAAGAAATTTTGCCTATGGGAGTAGAGGTGAATATGGAGAAGATGCGAGACTTGCTCTGCTCTCAGAAACACTGCTGGTAATTTTTTACATGAATTCACATATTTTTAAAAGAACTTTTGAAACTTTGTTGGTTCATCAGACCACACCTAGTAGTTCAACCACAGAAGTGTCCCTGAATGACTAACTCCCTTAATGAATTCACTGCAAAAACCTGAGGCATGTTAAACCTACGGCTTTACCTTCTTTAACCTCCAAGAGAACAGGAGCAGGAGAATGAATGAAATAAATGTTGGCATAAACAGTGAAGCAAGCTTAATCACAGAACCAAAAAAACAAAAACCAAAAAAACCCACATTTTGAGAGTTACCTCATAGCTACTTATTTTTATAGGAATAATCATGAATATGCATTCCTTTTCCAGACCTGAGAAAAAAAAAATCTGCCCAAGATGTGTGACAAGACTATCAGCAGGACTGCCAACCTTACTTATATCTGAGACCCCTGAGAAGTTTGCAACAGGGACCACCCATGTTTTGCTCTGGGAACTAGCTTAGTATATCTTCAGCTGTCAGGTACTCAAGGTCCCCTCTCTGCCTAGTTGCTTACCAGTGATCGATTTCTGTAAAACCACCAAACACTGTCCGCTCATTCAAAAGAAATCAGATTTATACTTAATGCCTTGGCAAATCTGTCAGGAGGCACAAGCAAGTAGAAGACAAATCCTGGAAGAGATTCAGGCCCAAAATACTGGTGAAGCATACCACTAGTGAAGTCCAGCACCTTAGCCACAACACTGGGAGTTAATAGTCTCAGTTGTGATTTCCTGAGCTCCACTGGCAACTGCAAATCTCCAAAGAGCCCTACCATCTTACCATCTGGAGAGCAGAGCCCTTTAGTGATGAGCTGCAAAAAAAAAAAAAAAAAAGGCATTCGGATATCTGCACCTGATGTGTATGAACCAGAAATGGAGCCTGGTCCACTGGCTGGCATGAACATTCAACCCCTAAAGCTGTCACTTCTCCAACAGCTGTACAAAAGGCATTGATATATTGACATAAAAAAGGCAGAAGTGGGAAAAGGTGTAAATTCAGAGCAACGTGGGTGAGTGAGAGTGGAGAAAGGTGAGGAACAACAGCAGAATTCTCTCTGCTGAATGAAGCATCCAGATAGATCTTCAAAATTGTGGGTGTGGGGGAAATATCAATATATACCGTATACCTCCTGACACTAACTCCAGGCAAGCTGAATACACAAACATGAAACAAGGAGAGTACTGGGCACTTGATGGTGAATAATCCAGTCCAGAAACGAGAAGCCTCAGTGAGATCCCCTCACACAGATTCACCTCTTCCATGCATTCCTTCTCTTTAACTTTTGATCTTATTTGTTTGTTTGTTTGTTTTTGTAGATTCAGGGGACTAGAGAGAAATTTGTTTCAGAACTAGCCTACTTTAAATCCCGCTGTTTTGAGAATGTTTTCTTTTAAACTTCAGAGAAAAGGTGCAGACTAGCGCATAGGAGAATGGTGTGGAGACAGCAGAGAAATGGGGGTGAGGCTAGACCAAGAATAAAGGGGGAGAAGCCCTTATGCTAAACCCAGCTCTGACAAAGTCTCAGAAAGTAGTTTTGAGGGGGTACTTTAAACATCTTATCAATACAATCCTTTTTGAGAGAAGTTGACGCCGAAAGAGCTAAAGAGTTGCTCAGGTTCATCTAGTGTTGATTACAGAGCTTGGGCCACCAGATATCTAGATGCACAGACATGAGACAGGAACGTTAAAGGAATCACAATCTGGCAAGGAAACGAGCAGTGGAGAGGGCTCAGAAGAGCACCTTCAGCCGCAGGGAGCTTTAGGTGTGTGCTCTGGGTACCTTGATGTAGGCTCGCTGCAGGTAGTTGTAGGGCACTCTGCGTTGGAAGTCGCTGCGCACATCCTCGCTGACGCGGTGGCGGGACGCGGGTCCCCCGAGGCGCTGGGTCTCGCAGCTGCGGTAGCAGCGCGCCCGCTCCAGCAAGGCGCGGAAGAAGGGCAATTCAGCCCCCGGTCCGGCAGCGGGGGGCGCAAGCGGGCGGCGCGTGGC